TCTTTAGGAAAACTATACCAACACTCATATTTTGTCATCTCGAACCCTGTCAAAAATATAAAAGAACAGACGCGAATTAAAATTTTTTTTTCTAAGAAAAAACCGTACAACACCAAGCGCTCAATAATAAAATTTTTTGTTCTTTTTTTTTTAAACGTGTCCTTTTTTAAAAAAAAATTGATTATAAATTAGTATGCATTTTTTAAAAACTAGTTTTCACATAATAAATATTAATATGAGTAAAACACTTCATTCAGGAATTGTCATATTATTAATCTTAATCACTATTTGAGCCACAGGGAATAAAGGTTAATCCTTTAGACCACTGCACATGTAATAATTAAAATCTGAATAGTGGTTATATCTGTCAAAATAACATTCACCGATTATTTACCGATTATTTAATTGAAAAAATTTCACCGGGTGCCAAATTTTTAGTTTGACTGAACTAGAGCTTACGACGAACCAGTTCGAACCGATTCAAATCATAAGTCAAAAAATTTTCTGATTCGAACTATCAGCGATTCGAACGATTTGAACCAATAACTTGATTAAACCGATTATATAAATGTAAATTTAAAATTTCAATGAATTTTTTTATCGCAAGTTGAAACCTGAAGCTAGAAAATTGGATTTCCCTAATGATCCTAGTATTTTAGTTAGCCCGGCTGATTGTCGTATGATGGCTTTCCCAACAATCGATGAATCAATCGAATTATGGATTAAAGGTCAACAATTTTCTATTCAAAGGTTGTTAGGCGATGAAAGTGCTGCCAAGGAATTTGAAGGTGGTAGCTTGGGGATTTTTAGATTGGCTCCTCAAGATTATCACAGGTAGTTATGAATAAAATGGTTAAAATTGATTAATTGTATATATAACAAATATCGTCCTAAAAATTATGCTTTTTTAAAAAAGGTTTCATTTTCCAGTAGATGGTCGTATTGGTGAAAATAAACCTATTGCTGGTGACTACTATACTGTTAATCCTATGGCTATTCGTTCAGAGTAAATAATTCTTATTACCGTATGACCATAATTTTCTTTTCATTTATA